AGAAGAGAGATGCCACGGTAGTTATTGCAGTCACCTCTGTCTCCTTTGTTCTTGCACAATGTGACGATGTTTGCATCCTTCATGTTCTGTGGTACTCCACCTTCCCTCCAGCAAAGACGAAAGACTTCATACAGTTCGGTGGTGATGATCTCTTTACAGCACTTCAGCACTTATTATTCTAAACTAGAAATGGGCATTTTGGGTAGTAAAGGTCATCTTCAAAACAGATCTGGATTCAGTAGCCTTTACATATAGTATAGCTTTGTAATAAACATGTCTGGTGCCACGTTACAATGGGTAGACTCATTACTCGCACTTTATAATTACACCGTTTGGAAGTTTCTACCATCAAGTAGGCGCTCACCACCTTGGTGCATGCGCTCGTAATCTCAAGATTAGACCACTGTAATGCACTCTACGTGGGGCTTCCTTTGAGGCTGCTACAGAAACTACAGGTGGTGCAGAATGCGGCGGCCAGATTACTCAGTGGAGTGAAAAAATTCCAATATATCTCGCCCACTCTGGCCGCATTGCATTGGCTGCCCATCCGATTCCGCATCGACTTCAAAGTGTTGACGCTTACGTATAAAGCCCTAAACGGTTTAGGGCCTCGATATCTGGCGGAACGCCTACTCCCACCAAGTTCTACCCGTGTCACTCGTGCGAGCCAGGAGGTGAGGCTGAGGAGCCTAACGCCGAGGGAGGCCCGGAAGGAGAAGACAAGAAATCGGGTCTTCTCGGTGGTGGCTCCTCGCCTCTGGAAAAATCTATCTCCTGGGATTCGCGGGGCTCCCTCGCTGGGTATCTTTAAGAATCAATTAAAGACATGGATGTTTCGGCAGGCCTTTCCACCAGACAATTCCTGATGTTCCTCTTCTTTTCCTCTCCACTGGGTTTCTATCTTTGTAGGTTTTTATTATTTATGCTGCTTTATATATATATAATTTTATTATTTGCTGATTGTTAGCCACCTAGAGTGGTCCTGAGTTGGCTAGATAGGCAGGATATTAAACAAACAAACAAACAAATAAATAAAGTACAGTATATGGAACTTGAATCGAAACTCAGAAATTATGATTGCTGAAACACAAATTACCTAATCTTGTTCCATGTGCTTGTTTTTCATACTTTAGTTATTTTCCAACAATTTCACAAATTTATCTTTGTACTTACAAAGGCCAGAAATGTACTTTTCCACAAATTAGAAGTGGGGATTCTTAGGATACTAATAGCACATTCCATGATACATGAAGAGGACTGAACTAAGAACAAAAAAAAATATTTAAAATATTTCTATCCTGCCTTTCTCTTGATTAAAAATCAGTTGCATGTGATACAGAACATTTTTATATAGCACTGCAAATTGTTCAAAGCACATCATCTAACTTTTCTGTTAATTCCTACAACAATGCTGAAAGCAAAAGCAAAATGTG